CCTTTCAATTTCTGGACTAATCTATTTTGTCTGATAGGTTTCGATGTGTTTTGATTCAATCTACTAACTGTGTTCCTCGGAAATCACTATCTGTTTGCGTTAGGGCCCAAGTTGGTAGGCGACGGTGAATACTTACATCACCTAATCTAACTAACCTAACCTGCTTAACATAAATCTGAAGCCTTACATACCTTAAATGGGTAAATTTGGATGTTTATACATCAGCGCTGCACATTCCAGGGAGTGGTTGGCAACGATGTTTCCTCGGGTAGGCAATGGGAGGGGCGCATAAAACGAAGCTTAACCAAAGAAAGCTTAAAATAAGGATAATGTGTATTCCTTATTTAAATTTTGTCTTTGACAACAAAGAAAGTCCATCTGAGGTGTGTTAACACAGCTATACATTTAGTATTATGAAGTTTTTTTTTTTTTTTAGAAAACGTTTATCCAGGCTGATACTTGAAGTCCACTTTCTGCATACCAGTCAGAGAGCGTTGAGGAGACAATTCTGTATCCAGCGGCATTAAAGATACGATTTCTATAGTCAGGAGGACTTAGAGAGGAAAATCCAATAATCAGTTAAAATATATGAGCAACTGCTATACGCATGAAGCAAAGGCATTAACTATAAACCCCTAATTTCACAAAACAAAGAAAGAACTACATTCGAAAAAAATAAATAAATTCACCCATAAACCATAGGTCAAGTAACATATGCTAACAACACTCCCGGACAGTTCCTTGAAAGCTGTATCTGTATATTTAATATTTCGAGGCATTAAATCATTCATAATGACTGTTTGTAGATAGCCCGTAAAACGACGCTGAAGGCTCCCTCGTGTAAATCAAAGCACAAGTGGCGAGATGATGTGAAAATACACACACACACAGAACCCAGCAGGTCACGATAAATTTAGAAGGCTTTCAAGAGCTCTCGTAACATTATTGGAACAGCATTATCATCACAAAAGTCATCTGTATCAAGAAAATCACATCATTCACACTCATATGACCACTTTGATGGGCACTGTAATGCTTTGAAAGGTTGATTATCTTAGAGAGAGAGAGAGAGAGAGAGAGAGAGAGAGAGAGGAGAGAGAGAGAGAGAGGAGAGGAGAGAGAGAGAGAGAGAGAGAGAGAGAGAGAGAGAGAGAGAGAGAGAGATTCTCGAAAGAAAAATGAATGTACGAGTCATTAGTAGCAACACAAAAATAAAGAGGACTAAAAAAAAACACTATCATAAAAAAAAAATCAAATAACACTCATAAGAGTCTTTAGACAATAAAGTCTCCACACTGTCCTAAGACAGCTACACAACTGGAAATGAAGGCTTATCCTATCATTATCGGAAACTCCAAACAGGTAAATAAAAGGTGTTCCGCATACCACAGCTTCACTAGTAAAAGAAAATAAAGGTTGTATAGAACAATGCAATGGCAGAGTGAAAAAAGAGCTCTCAAGAATTTATAACGATTGATATTGTCAATATACATAAACGAACATTTCCTTATTCTTTGCTAACTTTCAAAATGTCATTTATGTGCGTGTGAAGGGGGCACAATTTAGTACACTACATTACAGAGTGCACAAAGCTTAAGGATTTCAGACATCTTGGTCTGAGCTACTTCGAACTTTGTGTGCACTTTTGCGACCCAGAGAACTTATATTCTATACTTATCGTGTACCCAACATTGAAAATGTAATTCTTTTACCCTATCTAAACATATTTAAATGACCCATTTTTATCTGGAAAAAAAAAAAGAAAGAAAAGAGAAAAAAAATGGGGGAAAGGTGAAGGGAAATACTCTCTCTCTCTCTCTCCTCTCTCTCTCTCTCCTCATCTCTCTCTCTCTCTCTCTCTCCTCTCTCTCTCCTCTCTCTCTCTCTCCTCTCTCTCCTCTCTCTCTCTCTCTCAAATGTCATTCTATATACATTTTTTTTTTTTTTTTATTTATTCAGATAACTGTACATGGGGACATGTGCACATGGGCACTCCCAGTCATATTGCAGTTGATAACATTACAATCTATGTGGTTATGTAAAAATAACATACTAATAGAATTTGCAATTAATTTAAAATATCATAGCAAGTAATTAATAATAAAATATAGTGTAATAATTGAAGAGTACTTGAAGAGTAATCATTGTGACAATATTTTCAATAGCCCTTGTTGAGTGCTATCATTTAAATTCCGTACTACTGCAGACAATTTGAAGCAGATATAGAATAGCAATTTTCAGGTTAGAATAATAAGTAGGTACATACATATATATATACACACACATACATACACACACTATAATTATAATAATAATATATATATATATATATATAATATATATATATTATATATATAATATATATATATATATATATATGCATGCATTAATTAGATGAGCAATAGAAACACCACTGGGGCTTCATAGCCATACAGAGAAGAGAGATGAGAGAGAGAGAGAGAGAGAGAGAGAGAGAGAGAGAGAGAGAGAGAGAGAAGGA